ACCTCTCCAGGAGCTGAGTTCATGTTTTCCAGAGAAAGCACATGAAGGAATTACACCCACAACAAAAACAGAGAGCTGCTTTTCCACCATTTTATACTCAAATGAGGGTTGTTCACCTATCCTCTAGTATGCAACCCAGGCTAGGAGATTTTCATTCTACACTAACACATAGACTTGGTTTTGATCAGTATATAATTGTATAGATAGTAATAATAATAATAATAATAATAATAATAATAATAATAATAATAATAATAATAATAATAGTATAGAAAGCAACCCAAATTTGTAGAAGAAAATTCTGTTTCTCTTGGGTAAATGAGGCAGGTTCTTATGGACACCTTCAGTCATATGTTTAACCATTAGCACTGAATCCTGGTATTCTACTTAGGAACAATCACACTGATCTATTCCCACTACAGAGAAGTGGGTTTGTCACACAGGTGATACAAAGGAATCTCTTGTTTCACATCAGTAAAAAGTCTGTTCAGTCATTTCACAGTGGTTTATTTTCCTCAATGAAGAAAAAAAAAAAACCTTCAAGCTGCTGTGCCACCCCTCATGAAATGTCCCTTCAGGGAAGAGATTCCCAGGAAAGGAGAAAAGGATGTAGAGGAGGCATGGCAAAAGGAAGATGCTGAAGATGTGATTGTTCTCAAAAGCAAAGGTAATATCCTGCCCCTGATTTGCACAAACCTTTCCTGATACTGGTGTGATCTTGGTTTGCCAATCTCTGTCCAAAGTGAGATATCAACAAGACCTCCAAGCTTTCTAATGGCTTTGGATTTTTCTAAATCTACTCTAAACATCCCTGCTGGTTCCACTCCTTTGTTACCTGCAGCATCTCTGCTGCTCACATGCCAAATAATATCAGTGCTACCACCAAGGCAGATGAAATTGTAACAAAAGAAACTCTGCAGAATCTGAAATTAAAGAAAACTCTATCAAAACTCAGCTGCTCTGGTGTAACAGCCCTCCTCCAGTTTTTTCTTCTTTGTCACTGTCTTTCAGAGCCCACACACAAAAAATAAGAGTTTCTCTTTATGTGTTTCTCTGTACTGAGTGTGTCATAAGAAAGCAGAGAAATAAACTGATATGAAGATCCCACAAAGTGGGTCCCTTCTGCTGCTGTTCACACTTTTCATTGCATCTTGCCTTGTTTAACTGGAATCCAAAGCAAACAGAGAGAAAAGAGACTCACGAAAAAAAAAATTAAAATAAAGCTGTATCTGACCATCTGCTCCCACAAGGAAATGAACAATTATTGAAACACAATGAAGTAAAAGCTTTTTTTTTTTTCCATGCAATTACTTACAAGCACTGCCAGACTCAGGGTGTGCAGGGCACAGTGATATAAAGAATAAGAGTTCATGTTCCAAAGCAAGAGCCAGACCTCACTTCTTCAGCTTCTCTTAGCATCTTTCACCTGCTTTTTGGCTTCTCTTTCTCCTCTCAGTTGCTGATTTGAAGCATTTATCTTTTTGCACAGAAGTGACGTAACAGGGATGTGAAGTGGGAGATAAATATTAACAATTCTCCACGCTGCGTTCAAGCTTTGCAACTTTTTGATTTTTCCCAAAGACTGGACTGGATGAATTGAGTGATTGATGCCAGGATTATGGAAATTCTCTATGATCCTGGCAAGACTAATTTCTTTCTTTTAATACAAAAATGGTTTTGGGGGGATGGACAGTCCTAAATGTTACTAATCCCATAATAAAACATGATTGGCATAAGAGAAACACTCTCCTAAGAGTTAGTATCAATTAGTTAGTATCAATTCATTTTTTATAATGAAACCTTTTTCTTATATGGGTCCAGTGTATCTGGGTATTTTTATGGAGTGTAATGACTGCCATGCTACACTTTAAAATGCAAAAATCAAAGCCTCCTGACAGGCACACGAACACAAATTTTGCTGTGTACCTGTTTGGGCGTTGAGTTGAAGGCAAAATTCACAGAGGATTCTTCCCAGTTTGCTTCAGACTTCTGAAAGTTCAGTGTCTGAATGTCAATGAGTCGAGTCCTTTAGCCAAAGTCTAGAAATACAAACACTCAGCTCATTCATCTCATCCTGAGCTTCAAGGCAGGCCAGCAGAATTCCATTTCAGAAATACCCATTCTTACTCAGAACTAAAGGGAAATTTATTTCATTTGTCTCTCAGTTTGTATCATCTTGATATCCTCTTGAAGGACTTCAAATTCCCCATCAACATTAGGCAAGTGTCAACATTGCAAGATCAGAGACTCAAGATATGAAATCTCTTTCAAATATCATTCTCTGTTCTTCTATTCTCATCTCATGTCAGTCCTTAAATTAATTTATAACCCCCAGCTCCCAGCTTTCCACACAAAAGTCCATCCTACAACCCTGTTTTCACCTCTGGCATGGCTCTTTGTCCATCAACCCTGCTCATCTTTTTCAATTCTTTCAGATGTTTTCTGTCTGCTTCCCTACACAGATTGTGGGGATGCTGAGAGCCTGGAAAGAAGCCTCTCCCCTCCCAGAGTCACTACAGCTGTGAGGAACTGAAGTTGTACCTGCTTTTGGGAATATCTGTTGAAGCCTCCAGGACCTGGTTGTATGGTGGGTCTGGGAGGGAACTGAGCATATCCAATGCAAGAAAATGTCTTTGGAGAGCTGAAGTGGGTAAATGTTCCTTGTAGTGTATGCTTAAGGATTTATTTCAGTTTCCTCGGAAGCCTTATACCTTCCTTAATTATGCTAACTTTCAAAGGCTTGTCTAAAACAAAATTAGAGCTGTGTTCCTGTCAGTTTTAATCAGCTCATTCCAGAGGATGAAGCCCTAGACTGGTAAATGAACACTTGTAAATGTATTTATCATGAGCAAATCTCGTACTTTTTCCTAAACTCATTTCAGAAGCTACAGAATCTCAAGAACTGCAAGATTTCCCTGCAGAGGTGTAACATGGAAAAAATTCAGCCCATAATGTTACATCTACTTTTTCAGTAGTAATGAAAAAAAGCTGGTAAGAGAAATTAAACTGACAAAGTTTTAATTCACCATCACACATACCTTCAAAATAATGTTTGCTGACAATATTCAGTTCTTACCTGCATTTTGCTGATTACCTTGTATTCCCACTTGGGGAGAATGTAAGTATTCAGGTTGTCCTGAATGCCAAGTGCTTTCAGTAGTAAGACTGCAACAGTTAGATGTCTTACAAACATTTAATATTATTATAACCCTCAAAAATCTTATAAAACCATCATGACCAGTGCTGTCATCACAAGATCATGCCAGAATTTGGACACATTCCCCTCCTTCCCAGAAAACATTGCAGATTTAAGAAAAAAATTCTGGCTGAGCAGCCATCAGGTTTCATGCAATGCCTCAGTGCTTGAAGGTTAATAACCTTTAGGCTGTCCCACAAATTGTCTACTGACCATGCACCCCACAGCCACTTCAACCAGTGTTTGAAGAAGGATCATGAACAGACTCATTTCAGAGGAGCAACGTCTCCCATTCCTCGGGGATGCACTTTTTTGGTCCATGTATTAGAAAAATAAATTGCCTCTGAGTAAGCTTCTGGTGTCCACATCAGAATTTTCCATTTCAGCCACCACATCTGAAGCACTCTGTGTGTTTATTCAGTGCTGTTGAAGTCATGGCTATAAAAACCACAGAAGGCACTGCCTGCCACTTTTCATCCTAGGAGGGAACACAGAGAAAGCCCAGTGTAAGATATCTCAAAAGGTTTTCATTTTTCAGGCAAAATGAATATTGGTATAGAGAGGTTTTATGCTGAAATCTACAAATATAGGAGCTCTGATCCCCATGGATCATCTTGGAAAACCTGGCTTTTCTGTGTTTTCAGCCTGATTCTGCCACTCTGCAGCTCAGACATTCCATTAAAATGAGTTCCTTCCTACTGTCGCTGTTGTGTGCAAATTTCCAGCTGTTTGTGGTTAAGGAGAAAGACACGTCTAAAGGAAAATAATGAGCTTGTGGGTCTTTATTATTATTATTATTATTATTTCATTTAAATAACTTTTCTTTTTTTTTTTTTTTTACATTTAAACAAAAAAGTTTCCACAATAACCAACAGAACTTCGAGCTGCTTAGCTTCACCATAAAAGCACATCTGAAGGACCAATTTTCCACAGGCACAAACTTCTCACTTCCTACCAGTCCTGGAACACCACCACCTCTGCAAGCGGGCTCCCACACTCCTCCTGAGCAGAGGCAGGCACGTAGTAGATCAGTAATTACTACATCTTCTCTCCACTCATCACCTCCACCATCAACACACTCCCTGTTCCAGCAGCTCCTCTGCCAAGTTTTCTAGTGGTGGCAGTTTGCCTTCAGGATGGCACAGCTGCAGAGGAGACACTGGATATGCACTCAAAGGAGCTGCTTTTCTCCCCTTGAGCTTTCCAAAGGTGAAAACCTGACATTTTCACGGCTCTCTCAAGGATTCCCTTGCAGCTTTTTGTGGAATTATTTTAGTTTTTGTTGAAAGTTTGCACAGTTTGTAAAATATTGGGTGATTTCACAACAACTTGTTGCCTCCTCCCAACCCTGCCATCCCTGTTTCTGCACTCTTGTCCCTACACATAGAACAACATCCCAAAACTTATAAAAACCTCTTGGATATTTTTTTTCCTGCCACTTTTTCTCCCTCTACAACACACCTCTCCATTATCACAGAATCACAGAGTGCTTTGGCTTGGAAAGGACCTTAAAATCATCTGGTCCCAACCTTCCACAACACCAGGGTTGCTCCAAGCCCGATCTAGGCTGAGCTTCAATACTTCCAGGAATGGGGTTTCCACAACTTCTCTGGGAAAACTCTTGTACTTACAAAGAATTTACACATAGATTAATCTACAGCTGAAATGTTCAACAGGGTTGGGCAGGGCTTGGAGCCACCTGGGATAGTGGGAAGTGTCCCTGTCCATGGCAGGGGGTTGCAACTGGATGGTCCTTTTTGATCTAAACCAGTCCATAATTCATGATTTTAGTTTTCTTATGATGATGGAAAGACGAAGGACACCTTAACACTCTAAATTATTATTTCACAATTTAACTAAAAAAAGGCGGTAACAACTTACTTCATCAACACATAAACCCCATGGATTTTCCAAAGCTAAAAGCAAATAATTCGAGTTGAATAGTTACAGCTTCTGAGATGATGTTGCTGCAGCTTCATAATTCCCAAAGAACATGCCCAAAAAAAGGTATTAAATTCATTTTTTGGGGAAAAAAAAGCTACAGATGGCATTTTTCTTGAAGTCACTAACACAACCAGCAGTGTCCAAAGTGAAAATGGAGCTAGGAATGCTTCTGTGGGCTACCAATGTCACTCTGATGGGCACAGACTGCTGTGGTGAAATTTGTAATACTGGGAGCAAATCTACAGAGAAATAAAAGGAAATTTCAGTCTCTACTGGTGTCTCACAGTCTCTTATTGCCATGATGTTTCTCTAATACTATTGAAATTTAGAGGGAAGGTGTGGGAGGGGAGGAGGAAGGCTGGGCCTAAGTCATTTAACCACAGTTCCAAGAATAGGCGGTTTTGCAGATGTGACGGATGAATATTTCATTTCCCAGGAAAAAAGGGAATGTTCAAAACTTTACACAGCCCAGAGCTCAAAGAAGAATTATAAGTGAAGCCCTGAATTATCATTTTTTAAGATTGAAAAATATGCAGAGTCAATAATCATGCAGTCAAATTAATTTTTCCTTGCAGTGTAAGAGGTTGGTAATTTTGCTCATTTTGCTCATATCATGTATGAAATGGGCTGATGGATTTCAACTAAAGCTGCTTAAACAGCAAAAAATGCAGAGCATTAACTCTTTATCATGTGAAATTAAATCTGTTTAAGCACTTGAAATTAAATCTGTTTAAGAATATGGGGCCTGTACCAGCGTGCTTGATTGGTTTTATTTCCACTGGGATAATATTTTTTAGCTTGGCAGCAAGGCTATGGCACAGCTAGTTGCCCACACAGTGCTTCAGCTCTTCTTTCCTCTCCCATTTCAACTTCTTTTGGGCTGCTCCCTCTCTACCACAGCCATTTGTGGGCATTGCAGGGAGCAGGAGCAGGGAGCTGATCCAGACTAGAAATACACATTATCTTCCCCCAGCAGAATCAGTTCCCCAGGGCACCTCATAAATGCTGGCAGCGGAAGAGACAAGGCAGCCCCCGGTTAGAGAGTGGGGCCAGTTTTAGGAGAGGGCAGGTGCCCATCAGGTGATATTTCCAGACAAACAGGCTTTGCCATTTGAGTGCTGCATTTAATATTTCTCTTAATGTGGTAGGAAAAAAAACCCAAAAACCAGAAGGTTTGGGATGCTGAAATACAGGAAGATTGTTACTGTGTGGTCCAAAATATCTCTCTTGCT